GACTCTCAGGCCTACAAGTAGTGCTTACATCGATGGAAGTACTTACATCGATGGATTCATCTGTAGAAAGGGAGATTTTCCTTTTCACTTTTCAATTTTCAAGAGACCAAGGAAAAACTGGCAGCAAAAAAAACCATTGTGATTCTGCTATTAAATGCTGTGAATTACATTATTCTAAGCCAGACAGTTACAAAGTCAATCAAGCAGTAGTCCAGATATGCACGCTATTACATTGCTATTCAACTAATCTGTCAAATCATGGGAATGAATGTCAAAAGCCATTATTTCCAACTTCATCTCTTCCTTCTCCCCCCTGCCCTAGCAGCAGTGGCCTCTGTAACAAGAAGGCTTGTGACAGTACACATAGACAATGATAAAAGAAGTTAACAGCACTTTTAAATGAGATTTCAAGTTATTATTCAAAGAGAATAATATCAGAAACAAGGAAACACTCAAGAAATATAAAGAATCTAGACATCTTTGAGCAGTCATGGAAGAACAGAGATGTGACTTCATTGTTACCAAAAAATGCAGGTGTACTTATGAAGACAAGATATAGTCAAAATTAATCTTCAGCATCAGCCAAAGGAGGTTATTTCAGGCAATCCCCCAGACTATGCAACAGATTCACATCTTTCCGTCCTCAAAGAAACCATCTGTCTCTGGTGAAAACTCTGGGACACAAGCAGTTGTATGTAAGGAACAGAGATGTTGAAGATGAAGCATAATACAAATTTGACAGAAGACCAAGAATAGGATAGAGGACCCTTAAGAAAGTAAAAGACTGGAAAAGACCCAAGACAATGACTTTTTTTTTTTTCGGTTTAGATGCTTTGCACCCAAGACTATCCAGAAAGTCCTCACGAGAATGACCACTGCATAAGCAGTGAATAACAGTTCAACAGCAAGAGGTAAATGATTAAAATTAAGGGAGGAATAGAATCACTTTGAAAGATTATCCAGTAAATATATTAACAATTATGCATTTTCTAGCTGCATGGAAGTTTGTAACATTGATCAGGTTGGACCTATAGCCACCTAGTAAAGAATTGGACATTCTACAGAGAAATAAAAAGAGTGTGAATTAAATTAATAAGACGTTGAAGATGAAGTGCTGATCAACAAGATGATTATAAAAATTTTCAGATCCAAAAACAAATCCCACAGGAATGCGGATAGATTACATCATGGTGCTTGATCTACTCCCACTTTTCTGGATATGATAAATAAATTCCGGGAAAAGGTCTCCAGGGGAGCCCTGAGACTCACTGTGGAAAACATCACTCTCAACCATACCTTCTATGTAGATAATTTTAAACTTTATGGGCTCCCAGAGAGATAATGTAGCTGCAACAAAGATCATCAATATCTTTTTGTGTTACATTCATGCGCAGCGTGGACGGAACCATTTCCATCAACAAAGGCCCATTGAGAGCGCGGATAAGATGAATGCAGCAGCAATGGACAAAGCTATTGACATAGTATCTCCTGAAGAGAGCTACGTAGCTTGAAACTCAAAACAGGGCTCCACTGTTAGCAAAAGTGTTAATGTGCAAAACACAGCAGGTACCATCGGGTTTAAATACTTCACAGTGATGACTTCTGGTCAGTTATTGCCTATGACATCCCAGTCATGTCTTGCCAAGTCTCGATGTGTTAGAATGACAGATTGGACTATGGAAAAATAGAGATCTATAGACAGCATGACCGGGAAACAATTCAACACTACAGAGCTGAAAATGCAAAAGATAACTGTATGTCTAAATGGAAAGAAAGATATATGTTGAAGAATTGTGAAGATACTGTGTTTAGGGAGTGTGTGTTTATTGCGTATCTCAGGTAAAATATTAGTTTGTAACGACTAGAAGAAAGAGGAAAAGGCTTGGTGATGACTAAAAGGAAAATTGTGGAAAACTCATTTAAGAATCACAAGGAGAACATTAGGACTGCATTAAGTGGTAGGAGGTAACACCCTTCTTCAGAACAATGGGTACAAATTCTCAAAAATGGAAGTGAAGAGGTAGTTACTGTAGTTACACCAGATCATTATCCCCATATAGCCTGGTCCAGGTCTGGAAAACCGGAAATATCACTCACAAAATGAACTACTTATCCCTACATTGTAACATGCTTTAGCCACAAGGTTATGCTTATTTTTTTTCTAATTCAAGTTAGCTCCTTTTGTACTGGTGAACTAAGTAGGGTCAGAGCCCGTTCTTCAGCACGGAGGCCGAGTGGTGGAGTCTGGCCCTTCTAACATTGAGTGGCCACATCCAAACTGCTTGTAGGGAATGGTCCCAGGCCCTAACTCTCAAACTTGTCCAGGAATTGTTTGGGACATTGCTTCTCTGGGCCAAGACCAAACCAGGGAGGATGTTAACAAGTTAGCAATGTAACGGAGAGAGAGCCAGTTTCCTGATCTGACACTTTTAAATTTAGTAGTATAGCTGTAGCTGTTGTACACTGTAAAAGGAGTAATCAAAAACCTACCATCCTGTGAAAACCTTTTGGGACTTCACCTTGCAAATAATAAGACTGATAGAAGCTAGAAGACCAGAACCTAAATGATTCTGAAAGTCTCTAGAGTAGATATCTACCTTTGGCTAGCTCCAAGTGCAGCTGACTGTGTTGGCTAAGCCTCAACAGCTCTATGGGAGCTCGGACATATAACTTGCTAATAGACACTGGCATTTAGACACTGAAGTTTAGATAGCTGAATCTGGAGTGAATCTAACCCCAGATATCTATGCTCATTTAGATAGCTACCTAGAAATTGCTTATTTCTTTCCACTGACTATTGAAATACTCTAGGACATGGGATTCATCTTCCCTACAATGCATTTGTCTACATGAGAGCCATCTTTATTACTCTCCTATTATATTCCGTGGAGAATTCATCAATATGGTCAAAAAGTTTAGTAACTAGTCCCACTCACTCTAAGATAGGCACCAGTAGCTGTTGAGGCAGCTCACTGTATAGCATCCACGGTGTTGGGCACTGAGATGACCTGCTCACGTAGGAACATACAGACTCTAAATACTTACACGTAGAAATTTCACATTATGGATACCATTTTATTCATCTTGAATGAACTTAGGCAACTGGCCCTCAGGCAATTAAGTTACAGAAGATGAATTTTCCTCTGTTTTATTTCAGGCCATATTCAGGCTGTCTGCAGCTAAGCTCCTTCTCTTGTTTCTGGGCCCCTTCTCATAAATCCTCAGTTTCTGTGGGATGTGGGACTCAGCTTCTCCCTCAGTCACCCTCAGTGACATTACAGTTTGACTTGTCTAGCATACGTGGAGTGGAACGATCCTTTTCCTGGAGTTTCATCTATGACCGCATTCAGGCTAGATAAGACGTCTCACAGTCTCTAGATCAGTAGGGTTAGGAGAGCTGTAGCAATAGGATGTTTGGGAAGAATATTTTCCTTAGATCCACCAGGTGAGAACAAGGACCTCTTTGCAGAGTCGTGGGCTTGGCAGAAAGCACTGGGATATGACACGTTGCCTCTAGAAGGAAAGCCGGCTTAAGACACCATTATCCCCTCCCTCTTTCCTTCTTAGCTGCACACTCCTGTCCCTGTGCCAGGTCAAAGTGATCCGGGTTAAAAATAATCCTTCAATTTTTTTTTCTCTCCTGGAGAGTGGAGTATTTGAACCCAAGTCATTTCAGTGGTCTGGCTCAGTGTGGGACACCGCAAATGATTGGAAAATCGCCATTGAGAAGGTGAAACACTTCACTGTAAAGACGGAAAATGTGCCAAGCAGCAGGGGCACGGTGGGAACTGCTTTATTTGGCTGCATTGCCATTGACAAGTCTGGCTAAATGTAAGACCTCTTCAGAGGAAACAGAAGCACAAGTTACTGTATGGGTTACAAGCAGATGGAGAAGAAATAAGGAGAGTCTCAGGTTTGTCAGGAAATCCTTCTGGGAACAGAACAACAAAGGAGTTGTACATGCTCTGTTCCTATTATAAGCATCCACCACAATTGGCACTTTCACCAAATCATCCACACAAATGTGCCTTCTGATCCTATTCATACCCTAATCATTTATGCATGTATTAGTTATGTTATCATAGTGCTGAGGATCCCACATCATGAGCAGGACCCCATTCTACTAGGAACTGTGCCAAAGCAGGACATGACCTAGTGGCTATCTTGTTTTGTTGACTTCCCAGTTGTTAGGGACAGAAAAGTTAAGTCAGGGTTGGAACATACTGCCTAGGAGAGGGTAGAAACTCCATTACTGGAGGTTTGTAAAAGCAGGTTGGGCAAGCACCTAATTGAAACAATGGAGAGGGAGCGATCTTGCCTTGAGGCAGGAAAATAAATTAGATGACCTGTGAGGATCTCTTTCCATAATTTTTTTCATGGATTTTCCATGAATCTCTAGCCAGGTTCTGCTAGGGTGTGATGTCAGTACAAAGGACATTTCCATTTCCTTGTCCCAGTTGGAGTAATTAAAACAGTCATAATCACTGCACCTTCCCAAACCACAGCTTTGGCAGCATAAATGTGCTCTGAAGGCATATTTTAGGAGGCCATGGGAACCACTGGCATGCTGCTCATCAAGGAGTTGCAGCTCTACACTGCCCTTCTTCAGGACTGCACTGGGAGGAAACAAGTCATCATCTACCCTTGCAGCACAACTGGTTTTGCTTGTGTTCTCGCTTGGGCTGCGAGAGCCGGATTGTATATCCAGCTGCAAAACTTTGAGCCTTTGGGCTTCTGTCAGAAGTTACCTCTTGTTGACCCAAATCAGTATCTGATGTAAGAAACTCTCAAATGGCTGAACATGATCCTTTTACCTCACCCCTTGGTGTGACGTGGAAGTAACTAATATGACACTAGCTGCATAAGCTCAAAGGGCCAAGATAATGTGGGTAAATTACTGGCACTGAGAGCTATAGGATTTGCATTACAGGGAATGCAAATAGTGATGTGATAGCACCTGTTTGACTAACTGACCAGCACCAGGCGTCAGAGATACTTACCTTCTTTCCATCAACAGTGTAGAGCTTCTTCACCGGGAACTGTCAAGATAATGGAGCGCCTGAAACCAATTTCTCCATTCTTAAGTAGAGTGATTTTCTTAGGTATTCTGGGGCCATGCTGAGTGAAAGGTGTGGAATAATCTTCAAGCCTTCCCTCCTGAGCTGCTCTCCTCAAAGTACTGGAAGGACGGCCATTTCGTGGAGGGCCTGGCCTCTGTCCAGCAGAAGTAATGCTGATAGGCTTGACATATTTCTTATCAGAGCAAAGGTAGCATCCTCCATCCTCCAGCTGGTCTAGCTCACTGATGCAGTGTATTCCTCGTGGGGTGGTGATGGTTCGTACCCCAAACGGCAATGGAACCCGATGGGAGAGGTCATCCATGAGTGCATTGAAGCTCTTGAAGCTTCGCTGATTGATGGCCATCTTTACTCCCCCAAACTGAGGATCCCCGCTCTTGAAGAAGGTTATTTTTTTGGCTGGGGGAACCTGGGTGATAGTACTTGTCCGAGCCACAGAGGGAAGGGGCTGCTCATAGTTATAGGAGCTGGTGGTGGACAGGTAGTCAGCAGGCACCTGAGTCATCCCGCTTGCTTAATGGTAACTACAAGAGAAGCAAAAATAGAGTAGGGTTTGTTTGAGTCATGCAGAATCAATGCCTTACTAGCATGGGAATAAAGTTTGTTTTTGTCACACCAATTTTACTGTTCAAGAGTAACAAGAGTAGATTTTGACATACAGAGTTGTGAATGCCCTGGCTCAGGTAGAAAAAGCAGCGGCAAGAGTAGCCATAACCCTGTTCCTCACAGTTAAGCTGGCCTTTGACAATGAGAATTCGGTCAGCATTAGTAGCCCTTGAGGCACAAAAAGCATGAGTCAGACCCCAAGCAAAACCCACAAAAACTGATATTTGTATATTTTTGTCCTTTTGAGCTTTGTGTCTTCCTTGCTTATATTTTTGAGGTTTTCTCTGAAACTATCAAAGGCAGTGACTACTTTGATTTTACTTCTACAAACAGAGAGCTGAGATTCCCATGTAACCCTTTAGACCTGTGAACTGGAGCAGAACAAAAAATGTAATTAAATTTGTTCGTGAAATGGTTGCACGCTGCAGCACACAACCACACCTGAGTGATGGTTGTACTGAAGGAGCAAAGTACCCTTAATTTTAGAACAGATGGACATGGCCATGCTGTAATGTACGAAGGCAAGATCTGCATGAAAATCCATACCAGCTATGCAAGCAAATATGGTAAGAAATATTTCAAGATGCCAAATAAAACTGCAAAAGCTGGGTCTGTGAAACAGTGGGAAATCTTGAATTTGGCTAGGTAAGTATAGATGTGAGGAGACGAATACGTCCAGTTTGCGTGGGAGATCCTGGTGTCCTGCATTTTTAATGCTAAGCTGCTTTAGGTGTTTGGATCTGAAGGCTGAAGCCCAGATTTTGGAACCCATCTGTAAGAATATTTTTAATGTCTTTACTATGACAGAGACAAGTGGAAAAGAGACTGGGCTGCAGTCTTTCTTGCTTATTCTTATCAAAGGCACTTGTTCTTATCAAATGCTTTGTCTTTGAAGTCAACGAACAAAAAAATCACACCCCACATTGAATGAACAACTATGACAAAACAGATGGCGCTTTCTTTTTGACGCGGAAAAAAAATGAACACTGTTCACAATTGCTAAAACATTAGTGATAGTAAATATGACAAACACCAAGAAACACAGGAGAGTAAGATCATTAAAAAAGAAGAGTGAGCCCACAGTTCAATTTGAGTTAATTACTCTAACTTAAATGGAGACTCTGAAACTGCATGTAGAGACCTCATCTTCTGAGCAGAAGTTACTGCTCACATAGGGGCAACAAAATATTAGAACTATTAGTAGGGAATACAGCAGGTTTTCTTGTAGCTTGCAGAAGAAGGTTCTGGTTACAAGTGTCTACACTCGATTTGTTTTCCACATTATGTTCTTAGTTGATAGCAGTTTTCTACGGCAGCTTCAAAAAAATCTCCTGGAAGAAAGAAATTCTTTGACATTTTAAATGAGTTAGAAAGCAATAAATGTATTGCTAATGAGACATTTCCTTCAGTTCTCTCCTGGTTACAGTTCTTGCAGCAGTTAAATGAAATTTTAGCTTCAAGAAAATAGTCGTACAACTCACACATTATACTTTGGAGGACCAATTCTTTGACCACTGTAATTAATGGGAATTTTACCATTGATTTGCAGAGGTACAGCATTCAAAAAAGAGTGCACACTGATCTTATCCACACTTTAGAGCAAAATCATTATTTTCTTACTATGCTATTCTCAAGTGAAATATTTGCGCACTTTGTAATACAGCAAACTCATTTTTGCCATAAATGAAAGTTTAACCCGGACTAGATGAGAAAAGACATTAGGCACCATTTGGAAGATTATTATTTTGGCAGATCTCTGTTTTTTGATATCCTTGCACACTGACACAGATTTCAGTATGATTTATTCTTTCCATGTACATATTTCGCCAAACAATTATTCACTTATTTATTTCTCAGTTAAAGGTCCATCCATCACTCTATCTTCCAGGAAAAAACATCACATTTCTCCATTTTTCAACATCATTCAGAAGGGTGGCCCTAGCTTTGTCTCCATGAGTCCCATATTAGGCTGGGAGCAGACACTGGCAGCATACTTTCCAAACAAACCCATTATCCAGACAAATTGTGGTCTCTGGACCAATGGTGGTGCATGAAATGTTGGCTGTGTTCCCAGAAATCTAACTGCTTCCCAGTGATGTATTCTACTTTTGTCAAGCTGCTAAATTACATTTAAAAAAGCATAAAAACTTAAAACATGGGGCAAATCATAAAATACTTCCCTGATAATCATTTTCTTCGGGAATAATTCTACGAGGCTATTAAGAGATCACCTGATGTAAAGGACCATTGTCCCTTAAGTGTTGGCTGAGAGAGTGGGTTACTCACTCCAGCCTAGATCAGACAGCCTTTTCATGAAGTACTATTTCATGTGAGGAAAGAGCCTTCCATGAAAATGTTGCACGAAATATGAACAGCTCCCACAGGGGGAAGTGCAGTACAGTCCATTTCAAGGGTTGGAATGGGAAGGGGATTCTACTGAGTATCTGACAAGGCACCAAAAATGGTCGTTTCACTCAGGTACACCTTTTCATAGATACCTAACACAGAGGAGCTTCAATGCATATTTTTTTGTACTTACATTGAAATACTTCATGCCTCTTGCTCAAGATGACTTTTTCTTACAGAATATCCAAGAGATTTTAAAAAAACAAAAAACAAGCAAACGAAAAAGCCCAGCACTACTAACCAGCCACCTCCAGGATCTAATGCAATGGACAACGCAGGGGAAAGCATTAGCATTAGCATGCTGTCAATCAAACTGTCCTCAAAATGACTAACCATAGCTTGGAGGGTTAATCAGGACTGTGTTGCTAAGGATAGAAAGAAAAGCTACCTAATCTGCTGGAGAAGGCTCTTAAATCCACTGAGGCTTTACGCACAGTTTGCCCAATCCTTCTCTTGCTTGTTCCCCATGTAACAACACAGATGTAAATCAGATTCAGTGACATTCCTTTTAAATCATACCAGTACAAGTAAGAATGGAATCAAGGCCAAAGAGGTGGTGCTTTCTGCTTGCACAAAGGCCTGTAGAGCTCTGGCTCACTCTCCTGAGCCACTCACTCATCAAACATACCTTGGAGTTGGATTTGTCTTTTAGGTTACTCTAGAGAAATCAATGGAACTACAGTAAGGATGAACGCAGCTCCTAAGGATCCTTAGCCACTTCTCAGCTGGCATTAGTCACTTAGCCAGCACGTGGACAGTTTTTTAACAAAATATTATCTTGTCAGGAAAGTCAAGTGAGTCCTGACACAAACAGTTTCAAGTTCAGAGAGGATGTTGAAGTGAAAATTCTCAGATGAATGTGCTAGACTGATGAAATGTGCTAGGCGTGAAATAAAGAAATAGAAACAATCTTTTAACAATAAATACTATGAAATGATGTGTTCTTTCATAATTCACCTATGAGGCACTCCTGCTTTCTCTTATGTTTCCTCTCTTTGCAAATTAAAAAACGAGAA